GCAGCCGCATCGAAACTGGAGCACTGGAGTTTGGATTAGCCGCGGATGTTCCGATGGCGCTGGATCTGGCTATGGCGGGAGACCACTCAGTATTCAAGATAGCTTTGGTCACCAATCAATTATTCGAGCAACGTCTTCAACTTCCGTCCGTACCGCAGCCGCATGTCGACGTGTTGCGAGGAGCGTTGCGTTGGAGCCTGGTTAATAACGTAATTCTGCCTTACGAGGTTTCAAATCCTTTGCGTATCGCTTTGTTGTCTTCTGGCGCACGCGTCTTAAAAGGGAAGCCGGTAAAATTTAGTGATCCCTTGTCGCCTCAGTTTTACGACGGCGTAGATAAGCAGTTTACATCTGTAGATGCAGCAGTGTTGTCAATCACTGGCGCGTTGTTAGATTTGGCAATTCCAGTAGCGATTAAGTCGGTTAAGGGCTTTGTGGTCGCTAGAGTTCCGGTTGATCACATATCAGGTGCTGATGAAGCGCGCATGAAGTGGTTGCGCAGTCTGCAGGGTAAAGATTGTTTGTTGATGTTGAGTTGTCCTTCTGTTGAGTCTGAGTACCAGTCTTTTATCTGGCTGATTGTATTCACGAATCCGGCTATCAAGCGTGTGATTTTGAAGGATAGCAGCTTAGCTGAGCACTTGCTTTGAATGTGCGTACATGGAGCTTTCCACGGGCATTCACCATCTCGGCTTCGCCCGCTGGGGGGGGGAGTCTGCCGTACGCACGTGTTTTGTTCGGTGCTACAGTCATGTGACGCGACAGCTGTCACGACATTTTAGCGTCACGTTCATTTTACCGTCTTTTATAATCGTCTTAGGTTATAATCGGTGTGAATACGCGAATTTCGTGTATTATCGCGTAAGGTGTTTGGTTTTTATCTTACACTTCGCTGATGGACTTATGGACGAGACGAGAATGTACGCTCGTTCGCGTATGTTTATGTACTTTACTTGTGAATTGTTTATTTCTTGTGTGAATGTTCTGTCACACGGGTTATAAGGTGTTTCACTTTTGTCATTTGTGGACTATACGTCATGGTCGTACTCGAGGCTTATCTTTTGAGGGCCTCCTGTGATCGACATCGTGACTTCGG